CCACCCAGCAGCCCAGTCGGCCCAGATAAGCAGCACCCGGCCTACGACCGCTTGCCACTGGATGCCGCATCTCTGGGTCTGGCGCCCGCTGCTTATATCCAAGAACCCGTCACTTCCCGCGACTTCTGCTCCTCATTCTCGCTCATCTTGTCTTTGAACCAAACATACAAACCTCCGGTTACTAATCCACAATGCGACTCACAGACAAGGCGCTGAAGCCTTCTACAGCACGGCGATCCTCGACATCCACCCCTCGAGAGATACCAACCCCTGCCTCTCCGACCGCCGGCCAGCCTCCCGTCAACGGCGACGGAAACACCAATGGCACGACGACAGACGCCACAAAAGGTTCAACAGAAGGCGCGAAGCCTATTCCTGTGGGACGTCCTCCCATAGGCAGAAGCCCGTCGAACGAGAAGTCGGGTCCCAACGGCACTCCGCCCACCCGCCGCAACTCGTGGTTTTCCAACATTTCTTCCAAGTTTTCCTCTTCTCCGAACAACAATAACGCGCAAGCGAACCAACAGCCCCAGAACACTCCCCCAAAGGACTCCGGTCCGGTGCCTCCGAAGGTGACTCCTGCGAAGAATGCAGTGCTCCCGCACGCTGCCAAGTACGATGGGGACCAGCCATACACACCAGCGCCTCCCGGCCGCGGCCAGGCTGGCTTCCTCGGAGTCTTTCGCCGATTGTCTTCCTCGGGCGGTGTTTTGGGACCAGGCGCGAAGGGCACCCACGGTTTGGTCGAGCGAAAGGTACTGAATGTTGACCGCAATCGCGAGCGCTGTCAGATTTCGGACTTGCATCAGGCGAAACTTCGAAGGGTCGCATTCAGCGTCGATGTTGAAATTGCGCCAATGCCAAAGTATGTCGATACGGATACGCCGGCGAAGAAGCCCCTTGAGAGGTCGAAGACCCGGAAAGTGACAGAAAAGGGTGAGGGTGAGGCGCTCAAGAACCCAAAGTCGCTCGAGGAACAAAAGGAGCGCGATGGAGTCATCCACGAAACAGGCGAGCCCGTACCCAAGGAGCCAGAAAGGGAAGGAACCGACTCGGCCCAGGAAAAGAAGGGCGGCGAAGTTACCACTGCAAACCCACCCACGGAAAACAAGGAGAAGGATACCAAGAAGAAGGAGAAGAAAAAGAAGAGCGAAGAGGAGAGGAAAGCTAGGAAAGAGAAGAAGAGGAAACAAGCCGAGGCCAATGGCACGATCCCAATGGAGATTCATGTCGACGACAGCGACTCTTCCAGCGAAGGCACGCCAGCTGCAACACCAAAGACAACAGCATCTCCCACGACAAACCCGGTTAGGATATACCGGCGCTGTTGCCAGTTGAGAGAAACGCCCATCCTTAAGAAGATCACTGAGCAGCTGAGCAGCCCTTCAAATTGCTCATCCGACATCGGCATGGTGCAAAAGCTGGATCTCACAGGCTACTGGCTCCAGCTGCCAGACCTCGTCACTTTGGGAGACTATCTAGCCGTCGTCCCGGTCAAGGAGCTCATTTTGGAGAACTGTGGCCTTTCAGACGAGGGATTGAGAGTCATCCTCGCCGGCCTGCTGGCTACAAAGAAGCCCGAATCTAGGCGGCGGAAGCACACCCAACCTGATGGCCTCACAATCCAGGGAGGATTCGTCGAACGCCTTGTTCTCAAGAACAATAAGATCGGACCCGAAGGCTGGAAGCATATTTGCCTCTTCATCTACCTCTGCCGAACGCTCAAATCTCTCGATGTATCCACCATCCCCTTTCCTCGACCCCCGGCATCAACTCAAAACGGAAATGGTCACAGTCATCACTTGCTGCGGCATTCCAATGATGAGCGACCCCAGAACATCGCAGCAACACTCTTCTCCAAGGCTATTGGTGAAAGATTGGCTGGGTCCACACTTGAGCTCGTCAATTTAGGAGAGACCAACCTGAATTCGGATGACCTTGGAGTGATAATCGATGGTATCAACCAGTGTGGCGTCAAACGTCTGGGCCTTGCTCACAACAATATTGATGATAAGGGCCTGCAACACGTTGCCAGATACCTCTCCCAGAGCTTTTGCGAGGGCCTGGATCTTGGCGGCAATGATCTCCGAGGTCACATGGACGTGATTGCGAACGCGATCTCAGAAAAGGATTCTTTGTGGGCACTCAGTCTGGCTGAATGCAATCTGAAGCCCGGTTCACTTTGCAAAATCTTCCCCGCGCTTGCGCAGCTCAAGGACTTTCGCTTTATCGACCTTTCTCACAATCGGGATCTGTGCAAATCTGATCCCAGTGCTATTGGTCTCTTGCGCAAGTAAGTCGTGTCCACTCAACCATGGCTGATAATTACTAACAATCTCCAGATACATACCGAAGCTCAATGGCTTGCGTCGCATCCACCTAGCCGATGTTGCCATGACTTCTGAGCAGGCAATCGCTCTCACAGAGATCCTTCCCGAGGCGAAGCTACTAGCACACATTAGTTTCCTTGAGAATCCAGAGTTGGTCAAGCTTACGGATGCCAAGACTGAGGAGACTCAGGAAGAAGCATGCGCCTTGTATGCATCCTTCTTGGCTGCCACACGAGTCTCCAAGTCGATCGTGTGTGTCGACATTGATCCTCCTAGCGACAACTCTGGCGAGATTGTCAAGGCTTTGGCCAAACAGGTTGTGGCATATTGCTTGCGGAACATGGATCGCTTCCCCATGGGAGACATCAGCAATGTTATATCCACGGTTCTGGCCGAGACTCAAGGGCCTCAACCTGGTGGCCCAATTCCTCCTTACCCCGATGTGCTTGCACACTTGGTTGGCCACGACGTGCTGAGAGACGATTCCTCAGACAACGAGTCGGCCCCGGATGATGACTACGTCATCGGTGGAACGGGAGTTGTCAAGGCCCTTACGTGCTGCCTGAAGAACAGAGGAGATGAGTCGAGAAGACAGTCTGGCGAGTTCATCCGAGACTTTGAAGATGGCGTGCCAGTGCCGGCAAGCCCTCGACCGAAGCTTCCTCCTGGAAAGGCCAAAGACATGTCGAAGCATCTCCTTGCAAGCGCTCGCAAGATTCGCCAGCGATTGCAGCCTGCCTTGTCAAAGGCTAGGGTCAACCCTGAAGAAGATGAACACAACTTGCGCAAGTTGATGTTCCTCGACACCACACTGGCCAATATTATCAAGCGATTCGAGGATGAGTTCCCCGACACTCGAGTGTCGACCGACGAAGCCTCGGAAAGCACAATGCCCAGCCAAAGCGATCGGCTGGGCACATCATTGTCCTCTACCGAAGACCCTGACCAAGGAACTATTCCTTCAGATCCCGAAGATGAGACTGGCTTGCAAGTCCGACCTGGTCTGCCGCGCACGAACTCTACGTTGTCGCATACGTCCAAGGCGCTCATTGAGGAAGAAGGCAGAATTCACAGAACTGGTCACAAGATTCGCTCCGGCATCATCAAGCCTGAATACTATGGCTTGCTCAGCGGCGTACTTGAGGTCGGCCTCGATCCCAAGCATACCGCCATGCTTCACCAGATGATCGAAGAGATTGATGACGCGGATTTGACTGAGAAGGTTGAGCAGAAGGGTATCATGCGCGTTTTCCACGAGGACCGCGATCAAGTCCGTGAAGGACTGCGGGCATTGGATCCTTTGCATTGGGATCGCTTCGTCGAGAGTCAGGAGAAAGCAAGGGGGAACGTCAAGTCGAGCATATCGAATGCAGTCAAGCCGGCCGACGAGGTTGCTGTTGAGGACTGAGCTTGAAGCGACGTCGTCGCCCAACACTATGAGCGGTATTTCACGCATTTTGTACGAATAATTTGCTTTACATGAATTGTTGGATGGGGGACTTTCGAAACAGCAAGAAGCAAGCATAGGCGTACCGCGAGAAGGGACTTCATCGCACAGAACTTTTTCTTTTTTCCTTCTACCATTTTCCCCTTCTTCCCGCGGAAGACTTTGCGGACACAACACGTCCATTTTTCTGATACCAATAGCTCGGGAACCAGTGGATAGATCTGCCAACCCCCCGTGACAAAAGTTGCATCTAGGCAGACGAGGGAAACAAATGACGAGACGGGACACAGTCGCTACTGGAACTCCTGTATTGTACACTAGTACCTCCCTAGCGAAATCATCGCACATTTTCGCCCTCTTGAGGGCGAGGAGGCCGCCGGGTTATGACGCGCCGAAATCGTTCTGATTGTGTGATATGACGTGTATTCTCTCTCTCGATGTTTTTTCTCTTGCCTGCATCTCGTTGACACGGGTGCTCAGGATTTTCTTCTCAAGTTTGAGAGACGGGGTTGAAGAACAACGTCCAGGAAGGTCGCAGTAATTGGGCTTCTTGTCTTCGCACAAGATACAGCCACATTTTTGGCGGCTATAGTGTGTAACCAGGAAACGCTCGTTCCCGCATTCACTCCGCCGGCACGCATCAGATGCATACATAGGTTTGATGCTTAAAAGGTGTAGAAATCACATTTTGACATTGAAGCTCCGATTGAAACTCTCATCGCCACATCCAGCGGCGGCATCTGTACGTGTTTGTCCTTCCCGTCCTTCGTTGGTCGTTTCCCGTTTCCCAAACCAAAACACTAGGGTATAAGCTACTACAATGATCCGACCCATCCCAAATCCGCACGTAACAAACATCTCCTTTTTTTCCCATCTCTATTTCCGACCAAACTACTCCTTCTCTTAAGTGGTTGTCGCCGTACCGTCGCGTTCATGCGTGAAACCCCATCCCCGATTAACACCATTAAAATGCATGCATACTTTTCCCACCTGAAAAACCGACTCGCCACTCCGTGTTTTTGGTTTGCGATGCAGAAAGAGGAGTGGTCCAGTCATCCTAATAGATGAACCCACTGGAACCGAAAAAATATGTACAGCCGAATAGAAACAACAATAGACAATGATGTATGATGATAGATGCCGGCCTCCCCAAAAAGGGGGAAGGAGAACAGAAAAAAAGCAAACGAGAAATAAATCATGAACAAGCGTGTGTGTGTGTCCTGTTAAGCATAGCTCCTGACAGGATTGAGAACAGTGACGGGCAAACTCGAAAACGTCGCGTGCCCGACGTTCGTTCCCTCGCCCTCAGCGACGACACCCCAGGCAACCTCGCGGCAGGCGGCGCCAACGTCGCCGGGGGAGCGGTGGCACCTGGCGCTGATGACGGCGGAGCAGCTCCCTCCCTTGAGGACGAGTGGGTTGCCGGACGGGTCGCCGTCGACCCGCGTGGGCGTGGGATCCGCGCGGCGGAGACCGAGACCGAGGACGAGGCCCGCGATGATGACGAGGAGCGCGAGGAGGGCCAGGAGCCCGACGCCGCTGAAACCGACGCCGTTGATGGGGGCGGGGAAGTCTGCGTCCTTGGCGGCGGGGAGGGAGTCGACGGAGATCATCACTACCGACTGGCTGAGGACGAAGCCTGCGGCGGCGAAGAGGACGAGGAGGAGCCAGGAGAAGGGGCGCGGTAGGGTGAGGTAGAGGCTTGTTGTTTGCGCGCCGAGGGGTCGGCCGGAGCTGACGCGGAGGGGGAGGGTCAGGCCGGGGAGGGCGTACTGGCTCAGCTCGTGCGAGAGGAAGTAGGAGGACAGGAGGATGTTGGTGGTGAGGTAGAGGACGGCGAGGAGGAGGTGAGGAAGAGCCGCGACGAGGGCGAAGCCTGCGCGGGCGGCTCCATTTGGGAGAATGTACAACTGATGTTCCGGAGCGTGGCCGAAGGCGCTGAGACTGGCTGATGTATCTTGGCTCAATGAAATCGCCAGCGCCGCGGCGGCAAGGCCTGTAGGCGCGGCCCAGGTGAGGAACCAGGCAGCCCAGAGGGAGAGGCTGGGGGTCTGGAACCAGAAATGTTCCTTGGAAGTCCAGTACTTGGCTTCATTGTAGCCCCAGCGGCCTTGGGTGACGTCCTTCTTGTCGAGGAGACAGGAGGCTTTGGTGGTGTGGTCTGGGTGGGTGATGAAGGATGCGAGGGCATCGCCGAGCGTCACGAGAGGCTCGAAGCCGGTGAAGAAGTACACCGCGCCAATGGCAGAGACGGAGACGAGGTTGAGGATTGCAATGACGCCAAGCAGGGAGCCGTTGAGGATTACTGAGCAAGATTCGCGTGACTCGGGCCGGGCGAGGCAGTACTCGGCGGTTGTGTCGTTGATCTTGATGGAGGAAGGGTTCGTCGGGTCAACGAATTGAGAGAGCGAGGAGCCTGATTTCGCCGTCTGGACGAGGGAGTTGCTGGTTGAGGCAGAATCCGTGACCAGCAATACGGCGCTGAAGTCGCCCTGGTACACACCTCCGAATTCGTTCAGACAGTCGGCAATGGTGAGATTCGTCAGGTTGTTCTGGGATGCCTGGGTCTGCAGGGTCAGGATGTCGGATCTCAAGAGTCCGCCGGCGTTCGTCGCAGATGCATTGCTGAACTGGCCGGAGGAAAGGAAGCTCGGGGTGACGAAAAGGATTTGGTGGGCGAATCCCGGCATTGTTGTAAAGATTACAGCATTATATCTAATGACGGTCAGCACACGTACTTGAAAGTAAACCATAGTTATGACGGACATTACTTGGGTGCTGACGGCCGCCATCATAATGATGACCGCCATGACAACCCTGGGTTTGGAAATGAAACGCAGGTTCCTAAAGGAAGGAACGCCAATGTGGAGCCAACGATGCTCCTCGTGAGCCATTTCGACCTCGGTGCATGTCGGGCTGCTAAGTACTTGAAAGACGTAGTTGGCTGTCGCGAGAAGGATGATGACGATGACGTTGATGGCCACGGAGAGTCCGATCTTGATCTCATCTGCCTTGGAGCAGGATCCTTCGTACACTCTGCTCTCTCCCCGGACCATTCCGACAACTACCAGCGCCAGGACCAGGCAGACGATGGCGACAATGAGGATGATGAAGCCAATGACGATGTTCACTGCGATGCCGGCCCTCCACCCCGACTTCATTCTGCTGAAAGTACCCTGGCCGCCGCGCTTCCCTCCTGGAGGCATCATCCGCTCCAGATCTTCGCTCGCTGACGCTGTCGACATGCTGTGTGTTGTCGCCTCATCGTAGAATCCTTCTCCTTGATAGCGTTCCGCCGCTTGTGCTGCCAGTTCGCCCCCTTCCGTCTGTCTCTTTTTCTCCTCCCTTTTCCTTGCCATGGTCTCTGGTGTTTCTCCTCTGATGTAGTTGACGATATAGTCAGGAACGATATTTTCGAGAATTGTTGCTGTGGAACTACGCTTGCCCGGAGCCCATGTTGCCCTCCTCGGTGGCTCCCGCTCCCGCTCCAACGGAAAACTTGGCCCTAGACTCGGCCCTGGAAAGCTTCCTGTGAAGCCGGTGAACGGCCTTGATGAGGCGACGTCGGACGCGGAACTCTGATGGCGGAGAAAAGGCCATTGCACCGTTTGTCTGCTGACTGTGCTCTGCCGTTGCTCCTGTTCGGTGAGTTCTCTGATCTCTTGGTGTGGGACTCTATGCTGCATGTAAGTCCGCATTCAAGGTTTTAGGCCGCATCTGTCAGTAGTAGACTGTACCTTTCTACTCTCTCGACTTGCCCTTCCTCGTCCCAAGTATATCTGTAGGACGGCCCATGATCTCGTGGTGGAATTACAACCTCCATGACCTCGCGGAGGAGCGCAGCGCAGATAGTTGTGCGCGGCAGTTCGACATGAAGGGATTAAAAAGAAGAAAAATTGAGGGTGGATATGAATATGGGTAAAGAGGGGGGAAACTGTCTGATCAGGTCGATCAGTGCGGTCGGTACAAGACGACAGAAGCAAGAGCCGAAGGAGTGAAGGCACTTGCAGCTTTCGTCTCGTCTAGAAAAGAGACAAAACAGAATAGAGTTTTAGAGTGACGTGCAGCTGACACGTTTGGTGAAGGAGACGGAAGAGGGAGAAAAAGGCACCCATGGCCGAGCGCCAGGGTTTGCGATCGTCTTGTATATGTCGGAGGGCTCGTCCGTCCGACCTTTTCTCATACGGCGGGCCTTGGTGCGATTGCGGGAGAGGCGGCCCTGACAAGGGCACAACGCAGGTGGATGGGGAGCCACCGATTATTGGACTAAAGCCCATGGCAGATCATGAACAGGGAATGGTCCTTGTCACTGGGGGGACTTGAGACTCGCAAGGTCAAGCGGATGTGCAGACAAGAGGGGCCCGAGTGTGGTGGTGGTGGTGAGCCGCAGCGCCATCGAGGATGACCGCTTCAAGGCGAACGATGATGGAGGGGTGAGCAAGGGGGATTAGGAAGGGGGCTGACGACGTTCGGGACATGACGAGGAATCAAGGATGTTGGCGGCAGACGCTTGGAGATGCAAGATGAGATGGCATTCTGGTCGCGGCGAACGACTCGAGCCAAAGGCTTCCTTTCCGGCCGGTTGGATTGGATGACAAGAGGGCCGGTGCCCGATCGTTGACCGTGCAGGAACATAGGGGTGGCTTAGCTTTGATGAGCTCTTGTCAGAGTTTCTAGCCTCTGAGTCGAGGGCGAGTCAAATATCAGATAACTGGGGGACGAGGAGGGACGGGCCATGGATGATGGGAGGAGGAAGGCATTGAGATCTTTGACATGTCTGTCCATGTTCTTCCGTTTAGGGATTCCATCCGTATGGCCTCAAGTGCCCAACGCATGAAGAACAGAATCCGAAGATCGGTTGTTGAGAAGGAGGCTTCTGTCACCGACCATGACAATTCGGTGACGGTCCGCTTGGACGTTGCTTCTCCGGAGACGCAATCTGCCAGATGAGGGCTAGAGCAGGTCGGGCAATGGGTGAATGGTAGTTACCCAGCCGTGGCGTGGCAGAGGGGACGATCCGGGAGCTACTGCAGCGCTGGCGGCTTGGTGAGCGTCGATGGGGAGGCTCGAGGCCGGCTTTCTTCTTGCAGTGCTGCAGTTTCAGACGGGGGGCCTAGGTGAGATCACACTCGCGATTTGTGTTCCATAAAGGAATAGAACGATTCGAGTGCCGGCATGTCCTGTCCTGTCCTGGGGGAGGAGGGGTGAAAACGACATGGGACGTGGGAGTTGCAGGTGGAACGCACTCCAGTGTCGAACAGGGGTTTAAAGAGCCTGCCCGGGTCCACCCAACTGTCCAGGGCGAATTGCAGTGGGTGGCTAGCCTGTTACAGCCAGGGCCAATGAGAGGCGGCCATGCCACTATGCATTTTCCATCTTTAGAAGTCGAGCCCAAGACTTACCTCACCAACCTTGCCTACCTACCTCTGAGGCGTCTTACAGGAACCTGCACCTCCGGAATCCAACATGCCTCTGCAGTCCATCTAGCCTTGCAGCTCCATGTCATTCATGATGATCTCTGTTGCCTAGAATCCGCCCACAAACATGCAATGCCCCCAAGCCAATCGACCACTGCTGACGAGACGACGATCAAGCACGCCAACCAACACACACAAGGGGGACGGGGATGGTGCTCCTTCCCCTGCCCCCTTCCCTCGGATTCAAGCCTCCTTGCCCGCCCTGAAGCATGACCACCACCACTCTTGGCACTGCGAAGCAAACCTCATCGACCGTTCATGCGAAGACCTAGAATCACCAGAAGCCCTGCCCTCAGCCATTCGGTCATCCCTACTGTCCATCCCTCTCGACCCCGCCCCCTTTCAACCTCGTGGTCTTCAACCGGGGATGTGAAGGCGAGCGAGCACCACTCACACTTTCATGCGCCGGCACCGCCATCCCAGGAGATCGGGGTTTGCCTGTTTCACGACCTCCGCCAGGGGTCGAAAGGCTGTGAAGATTAGGAAAAATACCCGTCGAACCATATGTTGGGCACTTATATGTGATTGCTGCCTCACCCATCCCGGCCAGAACTGTTCTGAAAGGCTTCTCTTTTCGGCCGGATGCCCACAGCTGAACTACGCATTGAGTCGAGGGCGGGAACGGTCATTAAACTCAACATCGGGGGTTCCCTTCCAACTCCAGCAGATCCGGAGCTGGACCCGTCAAGAGCTCCAATTCAATTAAAGAGCGTCGCGAACGCCAATACCGCAACCCGCGCTTTTCGCGCCATGTCGTAATCGCATAGAGTCGGACGGCTTCCCTTCGAACCCTCAAATCTCTTCTGGTCTCCGCCGCTGCCGCCATAAATCCACAGCATCGTTGACTCGGGGGGTTTTGGAGAGTGCAACTAAAAACTAAAAACCTAACCTTCAGGGCCCCTTTTGATGGAACGTCGGGGCAGCTCCGCCGCCGGATCTCGGGCACCTCGTTCGGCCTTCGCTCCTCGCATGTTGGGGATTTCGCCAGAGACACAGCACGCGTCGTGATGTGGCTATACTTGGCTGTCAAGACGTCAGAAAAGCTGACGACGACTCACAGTTGCAGCAGCTCCTGAAGACGACCCTATTAACGCCGCCAAGATCCAAAATGTTTCCGCCTGCTGCCGTCGCCTAAGCCTTGGAGAACTAGCGGCCGCCTTTTGAAACGACGGAACCGCCAACGGCGCAACGCGGGTTCATTTAAGATGAGCCCTGTCATAATAGTTGATGGCCTTCACCTTCAGCTGGTGACGGGCTTGGCTTACCTGAAATTGGCTGCTCAATGAGCTCATAGGGCCCCCCCACCGTAGTTATTCATTATTGTGCAAGTTTCGCGATCTAAATGTCAAAAGGCAGTGAACTTATGAAGGTAATGAATAAATACAGCAGTGAATCAAATTCGTGACAAGAGTCCAAGAGGCACACTATCAAGCAAAAGACATGATCCAATGCCATCAGGATACCAAGCAGCGATAGAAGACAGCAAAAGAGACAAAAAATGAAGCACCGCGCAAAAAACAGTGTTCCGAAACCGAGAATCGAACTCGGGGCTATGCCTAACCTCTCAAGTTCATGAGAGGGCATCATGTTGGCCACTACACCATATCGGAGTGGGTTGCAAGGTATTTCAAAATTTGCATTTACAAAGGCTGCAGCAAAGCTTGGAGCCCTACTGCGCCACACCAGCGGGGCTCCTTTCGGCAGGAGGAGCTCCTCCCCGCCAACCGCACCTCGATTCATACCTTAACTCGGGGTCAAATGTTAGATTGATGATGTCGTGAAAGGGCAGTTGCTGTGAACATAGTTTCGAGGGAAAGACCAGCTTATTGCGGCTACTTCCGTCCAGCCGAACTTGGATGGCAAAGCCCCTGCTGACATTTCCAAGACTCATCCTTCTTCCAGGCAGCATCGTCAGCCAGCGGAGTTTACGATCGAGCCCCCGGCCAACAGTCATCATTTATCATCAGCCTTGGGCACACGACAGGCCTGGAACTCTCGGTACGAACCAACAACGACAAGAAATCCACATAGAGTCCACCGCAGAAGCCTTACTGCATCAGTACCCCAGACAGCTCAATCACGCGGTTAAGCCTTCCGCAAGAGCCGAAGACCGAGAGACAGGCAGATGCAGCGGCCACTTGACAATCTGTCGTAAATCTGGCATCGTTGCGACCCCGCGTGCCCAGTCTCGGGGGGTTTACGAGGGAATGAGGGGACCGTCGGCAGCTCCAAACGGCACCGGCAGCATGCGAGCACAATGCAGACGTGAAGACAAGCAAGTTTGGATGGCCAGCGTCGTCTTGTCGAACCACCATCCGCATCATCGGTTCCTCACGGCTCGGAATGTGGAGCTCCACGGCGATTTTGTCCTCCTCTGAGCTGTGCCGAACGGTAGTCACCGGCCCATGTCGGAGCTCATGTGCAGCAGCAACAGAGACATGCGTACAGATATGGTGTCGTTGGCAGCTCCTCCTCTCCCTCAGAATCGTTCGGGAGTCGATGTCGGGCCAGCTTCGGATGGGGCTCCGACCCGAAGCGGAGCCTGCCCAAGAGGAACTTGGCCTTGAACGAGTTGGGAATCTGGGAGAAGTTGCCTTGGTCTTGATTCCGACCCTGGCCCACGAGCCGACAAGGCCCTGAAGATCACACGTTGTGGCTGGTGGATGCACCCCAACAGCCCAGTCCAGCTTCCTCATTCTCTGTCCAAAGCACGCAAGCAGTGACGTATCTCGTTCAGCCAGCCCCTCTCGTCTCAGTCAACTCAGCCGCGCTGTGTGCAGATTTGGGGGGACCATGATATTGCTCTGCTTGCAGCCATGCAAGGTATTGCGTATAATCGCGAGAGAGCAAACCCGCCATGAGCAGTTGAACAGGCCCTCAATCTGGTGAGATACGACGGCATCGTCGTCTCCGGAACAGCTAACAAACATTCCATGCCCACCCCCAACGCGAACTCCCCGCCGTAAACGAACGGGCCTAGATTGGGGCACAACACCACCTTGGCTGTCAAACTGCGTCCACCGGGCCTGGGCAAGTGGAGGGTGGGCGCCCGCGCGCGCCAAAAAAAGGTGAGCGTCAATCTGATGGAAAATGGTGTTCACAGTGTCAGCCCAGAGAAGACCCTTCCGGACCACCACGCCCACCCGTCCGTGGTGCCATTCAGCACAGCCACAGGCCTCAAATCGCACGTTTTCACTCCCACCTTCCTCCCTTTGCGTTGCTTACTTTGGGGGAGCCCCTATTCGCCAGCAGCCATCAATCTTGCTCTCTGGGCCTTCTCATTGGCGTATCTGGCCTGTGGCGTGGCTCCTCCCGGCTGCGGAGGTGTGATGGGGCGGAGGTGCGGCCAGCCGAACGGCGTGAGGTGCTCACACGCCTGCACAGTGAGCGAGTCACACACGCACGCCCGCCCCAATCTCCCCCATGCCGCACCTCGTCCGTTTTCCAGCTCTTTTGACGCCATTTTCGCATGTTTCGTGGTCCCCCGACCATTGATTTGGGTCGATTTGACAGCTGTGCAGCCACTGTTGTACTAATGTATCTGTAGATCTGGCCGGGGGTGCTCGAAGGGGGGGAACCAGCAGAAAAATACCCCTGGTATTGTTCGTCTGGTTGCCTGGCCTTATTGTCTTCTCCCCCAAATATAACCAGCACGTCTGCCCCCCTCATAACTCGACTGCCATCGTTCTGTTTCCCATTCGAACCTCCAAGGATTCTAATAATATCACTCACGTCTCAAAGATAAACAGCCCATTAACACGACTGCTCCCAAAGACGCGTGTTTGATACTCCACAACCAAGCTCATCCCACCTTGCTTCTGAAGCTCAGCCTCACTCGACTCTCTTATACAAAGCCACGACTGACTGGCGTCTCTCGTCCATCTCTGAGAGCCTGCTCTACAACCACCAAACACCCCGACAAATCTACTACAAACTACACCTTCACAATGTCGCCCACCTACACCATGTCCGCACACCTGTGCAAGCAGATCTACGCCTCCTGGCGCGAAACCCGTCCTTCGCCTTCCAACATGCCCTCTCCCGGCGTTCAGGCTCCCAACATGACCTCCTACTTCCCCCGCAGCCCGTCCCCGGAGAAGCGCTCCATGGACAGCGACCGCAGCGACGCTGGCGTGCCCATGTCAAGATCTCCCTCGAACTCCTCGTGGCGCGGCCCCAAGTAGATGAGCTGTGAGGCTCTTCAGCGCCGAGGGGAGCTCCGCCTCGTCACAGGCGACATGCCAAGGTCACCCTCATCAACTACACACATATAAACTACCACAACACACGTCGGTGACATTGCAACCAGCGTCGTACAACAACGGAATCCAGCAATGGGCACTTCGAATTACCAATACGCATTTACGGCTTTACGCATCGGACCGGGCACGGCGCATGGAGATACCATCTTGACCCCGACACACTTCACAACCCGTCACGCGACCAGCCGCCACGCGCCGTTTCAGTCACATCCCGCTCGTGATCAGCAACGACGTTACACAACCACAAAATCACCCAACGACCCGAGCCGCATTGGAGGGAGGAGCACACAGGAAATGAACGTCACCGGAGTCGCGGCGCAACAAATTCACAACTCAGATCAAAAAAATCATCATCGGTTTTCCGGGAAGCAAACGGGAGGAATCTTTTTGGGGATCGAACGGCAGCGAGCGGCCTTAGCACGCCATGAGGGTCGAAGCATGATCATCGCATCGAGTCCACTTTTCCTTCTCACTTACAACCAACCTTACGCAGGGGATGCTGCTGGTTGCCCCTCCCATTGTATCATTGGCGGGGGTGAATCGTTCGAGAGGCATGCAGGGCTACGACATCGTCTGAAGCCACTGCTGCCCATCGAATCATCCTTTTTGCTTGTTGAACCTACTTTTATTGTTTTTTTTTTTCCAATTTTCCCCTTTGGCAGATTTAAGCAAGGGCGCTCTACGAATAGGATACCCAACACGATTTTTTCATGTTCAAAAAGCAAATCTCCATTTACCGTTTCCTCTGCCGTGAATGCTGTCCGGTAAATGGTCCACAAGTGCCAAGTTTCTCCATCAAGTCCACCGACTCTTCTTCTCGACTCCTAGTGTAGCCAAACATCCAGGAAGCTGTCCATCAGCTCCACCCGTGACGCAAGATCGTCACATATGAAGAGCAACTTCCTCCCAGATTGAACACCACACAGGCGCAACAGGTCCGATACCGTCCACCCTTGAAGCAAGGCTTCCTGAGCAGGCTGGCGAAATGCTGCATGCACACAGCCGCAGAGACATCCACCTCCCCGGTCGCCGTCGCCGTCGCCCTCTCCGTCACCGCCGCCGTCCTCCGATGGATCCCTTCATCCACCCCCTTTAGGTCCCCGCCCCGCCGTCCAAGTCCGGAAGACGTGGGGAGGGAGTATCCCAGCTCACGACGGAAAATGCCATTAAACCCCCTGACACGGGATCCCGAAAGGACGAAAGGGGGGATTTTTCTAGAATTTTTTAGGGTTCAATGTAGCGATGAATGAGGAGCTGGTTGAACATAAAAGTGACGCGTTCGGATTTTTTCTGCCTTTTTCTCAAAGTAACCCCTTTAGAATTCTCAAAAGGTAAGAGCAAAAACTTCGCGGCACGCAGGAGAACGAGACGAGAGAAAGTGCATCCCGCCGGCCCCATTCCCTCCGACCCCTCCACCTGCACCACCCTCGCCATCACCGTCCACGCCGTCCACACCCAAATTCGTCCGTCTCCGTCCAACCTGCGCATGCCAGACTCACCAGACTCTGATCTCGCGTCTCCGCCCAAGCCAAGCATCCCCATGTCGGCTCGCGGCAACCTCACCATGCACCCCAAACCAGCATCATCCTCCTTGGGCGTCTCTAGACCTAATCGGTTCATTCTTCGCTGCTCGCTGAAGTGGCCCTAAGAATAGAATACCGCATAGTTCTGTCCTTTTGGTGCTCCTTTTGCGGGTTGATTGATCTCTGAGCCCTCCCTAATCACCGAGACCCTCAATTCGCGATGAATTGCCAGTAATTCAATGTGAGAACGCTTTCGCGTTATGCATCTCAGCTGAGAATTCACAAATCGGATATAACGACACATGGCTCGACTTGGCCAACCTCTCAAATGCACCCACTTGTCACAATCACATCTTCCCACCTAACCGAGTGGGAACATGAGCCCATTTAGAGCCTCGCTGCAGCTGTCCTTCCTCTTTGAATCAGGTCGCGTCAAACCATTGGGCACACACAAGTCACCATCACACCAAGACTCAAGAGCGACTAGGGCCCTTTTCTTTACCAGAAAACTAATATGTTGCTGCATTCATTCCAAGCGAGCGAGCTACATTGCTGATCCCCCACCTCGCCAAGCAAGGCCCTCCCCGCACCACTCTCCGTCTCCCCTGTTTTCTGTACGCTTCGAGCTCTCGCCCCTGATTTCTCGGGGCCCAACAAACACCTCCCACGTCCCGTGCCCTATACAATGGTCCATACTGTCGCTATGCTTCTGTCGTATTTTGTCGATGATGTGCGTGTCTGTTGAAGGCCACCGGCGTCGTGAAGATGAAAGAAATAAAGACCCATCGCGGGTAACGCGATGGCTGAGAAACCATCAAACCCCCAAACACCGAGTTTTTGTTATCTAGCTGTTGTTGCATCCGTCTATCCTGCCCAATGGGGCCTATGCAAGTTCGGCACGGTCGAGGAAACGGACGCGTTACATGGCGGACGCAGCATGCGTGTTGATGTCGGTGCCGTTGCCAGGAGTTTCGTCGCCGCTTGAAGACTCCTCTCCGGTAAGGCTGCCACCGATGCGTCGTTTGGCGTCCTTCTTGTCCGCCTCGGTGATGTCCTTCTCGTCTTTGCGCATGTCCGGCGCCCATTGCGGTGTGCCAGGCGCGTGTCCCACAGACATGCCAGCGCGAACCTAGAAATGCTGTCAGTCAAATTTTCACAGGTAGATACCATCCCGCCAACTTACCAAAGTCTCAAGGGCAGTGTTCGAGTTGTCCACCAGGTCATCATCGAAGACCATCTTGCCAGGCTCGAACAACAATACGATAGTGCTACCGCCAAACTTGAAGTAGCCAAGCTCCTCAGCTCGCTTCACCTGCTCGCCCTCCTTGCGTGTAATGACGGTGCTGCCAACCATCATGGCGCCCACACAAATGACCATCACACGGCCGTGCACAGGACTGTCGATCGGGCAAAGAACTCTGACATTCTCTCCGTACACGTCAAGGGCTGAGCGAATAGCCATCGGGTTGACGGTGTAGTATTCTCCGGCAATGGTCTTCGGCTTGTCCAAGATACCGTCAACAGGAATGTGGAAACGGTGGTAATCTTGCGGCGCCAGTCGGAAAATGCCGAGCGCACCGTTCTCGAAGCGCTTGACATCCTCAGGGTAGGCGTCGCCGAGAAGGCGTTTGATCGAGAACTCACGACCCTTGATCCAAACGTTGGTGGCCTGGTTCACACTATTAAACACGACGCTGCGACAATCGGCGGGAGAAACGGTGACATCCGGACGCTCGGCACCAGAGCATGGGCGAGCATCGGGCTTCAGAGCTCGGTAAAAGAACTCGTTAAAGTTCTTGAACTCTTCCAGCGGCAGAAGAACCTCCGACATGTCGAGACGGTGGAATTCGATGAACTTGGGAATCTCAGCCTTGGAGGCCGGATCGTCAAACTTCTTGCCTTGCTTGATACTCATGCTCTTGAGCATCTTACGAACTACGATGACGTTAGCAGAATATCCGGTTAGGGCGATGGGGCCCTGCTTACTCCTCTTGGTTTCCATGTTACTAGACTTGAGTCCTTTGTACAGGAGACGGATTCCAAGTCTCACGTAAACGCTCATCTTCTCCTCGTTGATCTGGCCCGTGATGCGGTCCTGGACCAAGATGTTTGCCGAGTTGGCTCCAAGCTTGTATCCGCCGTAAGAGATCTTGGTGATAACCTTGGAGTACCACTTGCGTTGGGCCTGGCTGGCGGTGACGAAACCGCCCATGACGAGGTTGTTCACCTGTCGCCAATCCTGGCTGGCGCATGTGGCAATGTGCGTGATGATGTCGGTATCCTTGCGCTTGTTCAAGCGCGGCTGGTGGCAAATTGGACATTCTCTGATCTCGACCACATGCTCTTCGCCAGAACGATCCTCAGCCAGATCGTCCTTGTCAAGGAGGTCGCCCTCCTCGCCCGGAGTGCTCAGTTCCGGCACGTTGAGAGTACCATCGGAGGAACTTGAAGCCTCTGTCGAAAGACCAGGCTGGGTGTGCCCTGGCCCTGAAAGAAGATTTTTGACCTTGTCGGCATCTGGCAGCATGCCCTTCATCTTCTGCGTCACAGTGACGGGCTTGCTCTTGGCCTCCAATTGGTCCTCCAAGCATAGCACGGCCTCGTCCATCGTCAGATCTCCGACCTCGTCGCCTTCTTCCCTGTGGGGAAAGCGCTTGAAGAAGCCATCGATTGTCGACTCATGCAGCGTGGAACCCAGAGTGTCGAGCATTGTCGTCAGCTCAATCTTGCTGATACGACCACTCTCGTCCGTGTCGTACTGCTTGAGCATGGATCGCCAGAACTGCTGACGAAGAGCAGGGTAGGGAACGTACTTCGCGCGGATGTATAGGACTGGGTTATGCTTGTCTTCCCACTTCTTGGCGTCCTTCATCTTCAAGGGAATGCTGAAGTCATGGAAGTCTACTTCTTCAGACTGCTGCGCTTCCGCAGTCTGAGCTCCAGCGCCAGCGAGAGCTTGTTCGGGCGACAGGAACTCGGGGTTCAGACCTCCAGGCTGAGCGGCAGGCGTAGGCGTCGCAGTTCCAGACTGGCTTCCTCCAGGCACGCCGGAAGTGCTACTAGGGTTCTTGGACAGGGACGGCCGTACCACTTTGCTCAAGCTCTGAGACGAAGATGTGCGCGACATTGCGAGCTTTTTGAAGCGACGCTGCTGCGGGGCAACGAATTCGGCAGGCTCGGGTACGTCATAGAGGCCAGTCTCCGGGTCAGCTTTCGGGGCCTTGTCGATCAGCTCTCTGACGGCCAGGTTGCAGTCGGCGATGAAGTCATTTCCGGAGTACTTGTCGTGGTCCATAACAGTGAAGGCGAATGAGTATTGCTGCTCGTGGCCTTGGACTTGGAAAATCATCTTTTCGTTGAAGACGGGGTTCAGGTTGTGTCGCACTCGTTTTGTTCGAT